AAGCTAACAAGGTAAAGAGCAGAGACACTGACCTTGGACGCATTAAAGCCTTTGCTTTTCTTTGTGTCAGAGCTGTTGGGAAGTGTTGCCAGCTTGAGGTGGGAGCCAAACAGGGAGGCTGAGCCCTCCTGCATTATCATCACCTGCCAAAGGAAAATCAGCAGCTTAAATGAGCAGAGAGTTCTTTGCTTTCAGTAAATGTAGAGTGTTCAGTCTCTACCAGGAAAGTTGCTAATGAATCAGTCATTTACTGAGTAATATCACTGTGTTTTTAGAGTCAAGTACCAGAAAAGAGGACATGAGTAAAGAATGTTCAGCTTTACTGTCAAGCAGCTTGTGCGAGTACAAATTTGTTCTATATTACATCGATTTCATCCCAGTCATCCCAGTGACATCAGTGCCTCACATGTACATGTAACTGACTTGAAAAAACTGCGTCAAAAACAACAACAATCAAAGAAAGAACAACAAAGGATTCTCACATGTACAGATAAAGATGGGTATCATGAAGATTTAGAGTAACAGATAAATGCCACAGTTACCAAACACACACAAAACCATATGACCATAGACTATACTGGTGGCTGCACTCGAGGTTCACCTGAAGCACAACAAGTGAGCACCGCTCCAACTCCAATCCCCAAACGTTTGATCGAATGCTTATATAGGTCATCATGTGCTACCACATGCCCCTCTTCATGAAACGTCTCACGTGGTCTGAAATCTTACTCAAGAACAGAACCCGATTCCTGCCTAGCCTAAACATTTAGCTAACTATGGCTAATCATGAGGTGGACCTGCTGTAATGTTAGATGGCAGTGCAGGGGCGGGGCCGGTGTCCTGCAGGTTACAGAGCTCACCCTGGGTCAACACACCTGAATCACATGACTAGCTCATTACCAGGCCTCTGGAGAACCTCAGGACATGTTGAGGAGGTAAATAAACTGGATTAAAATGAAGTGCACATGAAAGTCCCAGTGAGGGAATTAGAAAGCTTAGCAAAGGATGGCAAGTTAAAGATGTGTTTATTGAATTCATTATCAACATTTTAACAACATAAACCGCTGTTCCACGATTCCTGGCACAGCTTTAAAAAGAAACACACGCTTTATGTTTAGTAACAGCGTTTGATTTTCATACTGCACATTATAGCAAACATGTCCACTTTGGTCCTGTCCATACGCAACCACAGATTTGTGACTTTGTGAAGCTAAACTGTGCTGCTCTGTTATTTTTGCCAAACTCCGGGAAGACAGGCGCACTATGTTAACATAGATGTAAAAGCTCCAGACAAGAAAACAACCAAAACCTCTGCTGGTGTGGAGCAGCAGGGCCGTACATACACTGCCCCGTGAACGCCGTGTTTCCATGACTGTAGGCGTCTTATGTGAGCACCGGATCTGACAATCGTTCAAGTGCACAATTTAGTAACGGGACACATTTGAAACAAAGCCAACTGGTTTTGACTGAAATCCCTTACATTAAAGTTTAACATCTGCAGCAACAATAACTGCTACATTGTGTCATTGCTGAGGTGGTAACATGTAACAGGGAAGTAACAGTAACAGTAACAGGGAGGATGGAGTCATTATGAGCTACAAGCCTGTTAGAAATCTTACCTTTGAGTCTTCTGAACTTCTTTTGTGAGGATTTCGTTGCTGTGAAGGAAAACAGAAGAACAGGGTGACTGAGGAACGTAAACTAATGTCATTGCTGTAAAGACTATACACATATACTCCACACATACTACATCCATGATATAAAGCGACAGCCCAGGATGGACCTGGGCTGTCGCGCCCTCGTGCCTACCCCTCCAGCTTTCAGTAACTTCCTACGAAACTCCTCGGTTGGATTGTTGAAGGTGAGCTTCTCACAGCGGAGGTGATTGACGGGCGGGTGACCTTCCAGGTGGAGGAACAAGTCATAATCAAAGCGAACTTTCTTCGGTTCTTCCTACGGAGAAGTGGAAGGAAAACCACGAAAGGGACAAACAATAAAAACCCGTCATGCAGCACGTTACCCACATCATTATCATGCTCTGTTTTTGACTGCATCATTTAATTAGATTCAATTCAATTTTATTTACACAGCATCAAATCACAGCAACAGTCGCCTCAAGGCGCTTTATAATGTACAGTAGATACAGAGAAACACCCAACAATCATATGACCCCCTATGAGCAGCACTTTGGCGACAGTGGGAAAGAAAAAACTCCCTTTTAACAGGAAGAAACCTCCAGCAGAACCAGGCTCAGGGAGGGGCGTCACTCTGAGACAGGATATTTCTAACTTTAGAGACAAGTGGGAAGGAAAAACTCCCTTTTAACAGGAAGAAACCTCCAGCAGAACCAGGCTCAGGGAGGGGCGGGGCCATCTGCTGCGACCGGACTACATTATTCAGATCCCAAACACCACACTGTTTGTTAACGCTCTGAAGCCTGAACCATGAAATAACGGACAGAAAATTATTATTTTTTAAATTGAATAATGCTACATCTGGCAAAAATGTGTTGTGCAATTTATTTACTTTCTTCAGGGGAAAATAAATAAATCACACTGATTATGTACAAGAACTGCATTTGTTAAATATGATACACTAGGCACTAAGTAAGTACCACAGTAACACAGTAAACTCCTGACTAATTAAAAAAAATAAGTTGAGAAATTTAAGGCAGCTTTCAAATGAATCCATGTTTTTTCTGGGTTAAGATCAACTTTGATTTTTTGCTTTTGGACTTAGTTTAATTATTTTTACTGGCTTTTTAAGTTTAAATCGCCATTTGATGAAATGATCACAGTTTGGGTTGAGATGACCTTTGCTCAGGCCTCAGCATCTGTTAGACGTGTTCGAAAGGCTCTCTGCTAGAAAACGCCAAAGAAAATAGAGCCAGTGGAACCAGTGGAACCAGTGACAAACTTAAACTCTGGAACAAATGCTGCTTCTGAATTTTGCACCAATAACCAATATTAGAGCTCTTCCAGCACTACAAAATGCACCTTTCTCTCCATTGGATGTGCCAGTTCATGGCCCTGACCCAGTATCTGTGTGGGGTCACCAGTTTGCTGTGTAAAGCTTTGTCTCGTTTAACTTAAATCTCTGCTTTCATGACCTACGTTTCCAGCTGTCGTCACCCAAAGTGCTGAGAGCAGAAAAGCCAGTACATCTAGCCTTTACCCTCACATGGCAAAGGCGGCATCGCCTTTAGGCCCAGCTGTGTGTGTGACCTGCTGCTTTGTTAGAGCTGCACACCTCTGAGTATGGTAGGCCAGTTTTTTTTCTCTTTTCCAGCAAAAACACTTTCAAAAGAGCACAACTGTATCACGCGTACACTCCCTCAGTAACCGTCACTGCAGAAGCTTCCACATAATACATAAAATGTTGCAACAGCTTGAAAAGACGCGACTCTTGATAGAAAAATGAAAACAGCTCTGAATGGACACATTTGACAATCAGCCTGAAAAAGCTGCAGTTCAGGAACGACCTGGTGCAAACCCGACACTTGTTCAGAGCACACATAAAAACCCCTTCATGGTTTAGAGGTTCAGGGTCTTACAACAATAGTGCATTACCCACACAAACCCTGGCAGCTGGGTGCTGCTTGTTAAATGTACCTTGTTTCTGAAATAAACTTCGATGGGCAAGATGAAGCCTGCGTATCCAGATTCCTCCACTTTGTACGGTGGATCCTTGCACACTGAAAGAGAAAACTGCTGTTAGACTTCAGGAGGCTGACAGTTCACAAAGCTTGCTTTAAATTCATGCAGTTACATGAAATGCAGAGCAGCGCTGAGTGTGCTGCAGCCATCTGGTTGGGTTGCTGGGAGACGGCCGCTCTGACAAACACAAAAAACCCAACCATTACATAAATCACATCCCCTCCACACCTGAACTAGGTGACAGGACTGTATTAAGACTGTTGCTTCATTTATTGTGTCATTAAACACACTAATCCTGCAGCTGTGTTCTCATGAGACCTCATTAACTCAATTTCTGCAGCCTACTCTGATGCATCGATACAGAGAGCGGGCGTCCATTAGAACCAAAGCCTTAAACACACATGACAAGGCCAAGACGTCCACACATGCTCGCAGAGGAGCACACGGATCACAACGGATCCCTCCTGAGTCACAAAATGTACCAACGCAGGAAATGTACTAATTAAGTTACGTGTGCTTATTGAACAAAGGAAGCTTTGCTTAATTCTCAAATATTGTCCGTTTGACACATCACAGCATGCAGCTACGATGGTGATGTGTGTGAATGTGTAGAAATGCTGTACAGATGGATGAGAGTCGAGAAGGACGACATCTTTCTCAAATCGTCCCTCTGCTGCCTCCAACATCTTCGTTCCTGAAAATCACATCTGTTCAACTCATGAGGAAAGATGTGAAAGCCAGGCTGGATTTTCTTTCCTTCTTTTGTAATTTCATGTTCAAACGTTTAAACTTATTGTTGTTAATAAGTTACAAACTATTTTACTTACTG